TAAGACATATAAAGCTAAGGTTGAGAATTAGCTTAACAAGAAAATAAAGATTTTAAGATTAGATAGAGGAGGAGAGTACGTATATTCTACTTTTTCTAAATTTTGTGCTTTTCATGGCATTATTCACAAAACAATCGCTCCTTATATGCCACAACAAAATGATTTTGTGGAGAGGAAGAACTGTACATTCAAGAATATGATAAATGCCATGATAAATAGCTCAGGGCTTCCACACAATTTTTGGGGTGAAGCCTTACTTATTGCAAATAAAATCCTAAATAGAATTCCACACAAGAAGACTGATAAGTCTCCTTACGAAATTTGGAAAGGAAGACAGCCAACTTAGAAAATATGGAAAGAGTAGGGTTGCCTGGCGAAAGTTCAAGTTCCTTTACCTAAGAGCACTGAACTCGGACCTAAAACCATTGGCTATATTTTCATTGGTTGCACAAAATAGTGCAGCATATAGATTTTTGGTAATTAAATTCAAAATTGCAGATATTCATGTTAACATCATATTATAATCTGTGAATGCATAATTCTTTGAGGAAATCTTTCTATATAGGGAAGAAAAATTTAGTTCTATGAATAAAAGAACTATTAATGATCTTTTGAAAGAAAATTATGATAGTTCATCTAATCCTTCTACAAGTGAGGCAAAACCTAGGAGTTGTAAGAGATCAAATGATCCTAAGGATTATGGACCAGATTTCATGACTTACATAGTAGAGGTTGAGCCACAAATATATAAAGAAGCTATGTCAAGACCATAAGCTCCATTTTGGAAAGAAGCAATCAATAGAGAAGTTGAATCCATTATACAAGACAACACTTGGAAATTGGTTGATTTGTCACATGGAAATAAACCAATTGGATATAAATAGATATTCAAAAAGAAATTGAAGCATGATGGTACAATTGACAAGTATAAGGCACGTTTAGTAGCTAAAGTTTATCGTCAAAAGGATGGATTGGATTACGTTGATGCATATGCTCCTGTGAGTAGAATAAATTCTATTCGAATGTTGATTGTCATGCCAGCATTTTATAATATGGAAATATAAAATGAATGTAAAAACTGTATTTCTCAATGGGGATTTACATGAGGAAATCTACATAGAACATTTGTTGTGAACGGTAAGGAAAACAAGGTATGTAGGCTTGTCAAATCCTTATATGGATTGAGTCAAATCCTTATATGGATTGAAACGAGCTCCTAAGCAATGATAGGAAAAATTTGACCATGTTATGTTGACACATAGTTGTAAAATAAATGAGTGTGACAAATGCGTCTATGTCAAAACTCATAATAATGGATGTGTTATAGTGTGCCAATATATAGATGGCATGCTCACAATAGGGACAAACAAGGATATAATTAATTCAACCAAGAAAATGTTGAATTCAAATTTGGATATGAAAGACTTAGATCTTACTGATGTGATTCTTGGAATAAGAATTAAAAGAAATGCCGAAGGTTATATTCTTACCCAGTCTCATTATGTGGAGGCAACACTTAGAATGTTTGGTCATTTTGATGATAAACCTGATGTGATACCATTTGATGCAAATGGTAAATTTAAGAAAAATGTTGGTGAAGCTATATCACAATGTCAATATGCACAAGTGATTGGAATTAATGTACATAATGAATTGTACAAGACCTAATATAGATTATTCGTTAAGTAAGTTAAGTAGGTATACAAGCAATCTAGGACATGATCATTCAGAAGCTTTAGTCAGATTACTAAGGTTTTTGAAATACATGTTAGATTATGGATTGCATTAAACAAAATATCCTCCAGTACTAGAAGGGTATAATGATGTTAACTAGATATTCGACAGTACTGAAACAAACCACAAGTGGATATGTTTTCATATTAGGATAAGCTGCAATATCTGGGAAATTTTCCAAACAAACCTGTATTGCACGATCAACTATGGAATCAGAATTTGTAGCTTCAAGGCTGCAGCAGAAGTTGAGTGGCTAAGAAACTTTTTGGAAGATATTTCGTTGTGGCCTAAGCCTGTAACAACTATATGCATACATTGTGATAGTTTAGCAGGACAAGGAAGGGCAAAAGATAATTTAGCACATCCTTTCACAAAAGGATTACCAAAAGAGCAAGTAAAGTATAAATTAAGGGGAATAAGGCTAATGCCAACACTACAAATGAACTAGCCTAGCGGAAACCTAACCTAGTTGATTGGAGATCCCATGGTCTAGGTTCAATAGGCAAACTGGTTAGGCATGGTTCAAGGATGTGAACACACTATATACCTCATTCCTATGATGGAAGAAATTTGTTATTTGTGGAAGTTATAGATGATACTTATGTTTAATGATACTGATATCTTGGTAACAAGAGGAATATAACTGACTATTCTTAATCAGTCTCACTATATGAGAGTAAATGTGGGGTCGCATTTATGAGAATTATATAGCCAAATTCTCTAAAGCTCTCATGAATCTAGGATCTTGTTCAGGACTAAAATGAACACAAACTTATGAACATGTGTTCGTTAAGATGAGAATTGTGTGAGACTTATTGTCTTGGTTTATTGCTAGGGTGAACAATTTAAGATTACATATTCACTGTGTCATCTTGTAAACCTGATAAGCTTTCACTAAGGTAGGTTCAAGTCCAAAAGATGCCTATCCCGATGCAATTTTCGTCTGATTTTCTCTCTTATATCTGTGCACTTATTTTCTATTCAAATATGGGTATTGTTGGAAGTTTGAATAGAAAACTAACACTATGCCAAAATTTGCCTTAGGCAATGGAGGCCTAACCGAGGTATTCATCACAGTGGCCTTTAACTATTTATTGGAAATAGAGAACCTTCAATGTGTATTCCATTTACAGCATCAAACTGAGTAGAATAAAATTATCACTATATTTATTCTTTCGATGTTTAGAAGGCTTCCATGTAAGTAATGGGCATTGGCTTATGATGCCTAAAAGCATCAAGGGCGTTAGTTGTAACATAACAACTAATGCTTTTGCTATCGTATTACAACAATATACTTGAAAGTATTGATGCGGTTAATGATATATCTTATCCATTTTTATGCATGTGCTGATGCAGATTGTAGATATAGGCATTATTTTTACTAGATTTTATGTTCTCGTTTTATCTATTCAACATCAATTTTTTTTAATTAGTCATTTTCTTGATTGATTGAATTAAATACAACAATATATATATATATATAATTTTTCAGCCTTGGCATTTGAGTACAAAATAGAAATAGAGTATAGGCTAGCACACCAAATAAAAGTTAAAAAAGTAACCCTTTATTAAAATTATCATAATTAATTCTAAATACGAACTTTATAATTAATTCCTTAGTCCTACATTGGTTTAGCACAAGAAGTTAACACACTTTATAAACTTTAGTGCCTTTCTAATATTAAAATGGATTAGACTTGGGTTGGCTACGATTAGGTTGATATTAAATAAGAACGTTTTTCAATCACTATTTGATAGAGAAAAAATGAATACAGTTCGCTAGAGTTCAAAGAATTGATAGTTGTATATTGGGACAGACGCTTGAAGAACTACAAGGCACGAGTATAAGGGCAAAATTCTGTCTATGGACATTGCATTTTCATGCCTCTATCAGTAGTTTACTTCGTTTGCTTATTTTATAATTTTAGTATAATTGTGTTCATTTATAATTTTATTCATATTACACTTCTCTTGGAATAATTTAAGTTGTATTTAAATTATGTTATCAAATATTCTTTAGAGTTCCATACTGATTGTTTTCTAACAATAACTACCCTTAAACACTTGAGCTACAAGCTTCTTGGGGTTTTTTTTTTTTGGATAAGCACAAAAGAATTACAACACAAAACCCCGAAGGCAACCCACAGCTAAAGAATCCCAAGAGATAGATCTAGCCACCGAAGAAGGAAGATTCTGCAACCAAATGTGGCATGATGGGGGTAGAGTGCCCAAGCACCAAAGGGGAATCCACCACAAAGTTTGCCTCTCGGAAAACATGCTTGAAGGAGATAGCTTGAAAGCCTTACATACAAATTTACTAAAAAGATAGATTGCGTACAAACCTACTAAAAGGATAGATTACTCGACGGTACGAGTAAATTTCATTGATAAAAAAAAAATACATGGGGACATAATGAGCCCCTCAAAATGCATCTAGTACAACCTTAAATAAAAACAACATTAAACTAAAAGAAAAAAACAATTAGTTTTTTTAATACAAGTGAGAGTTTATAGGGGGAGGAGGCTTCTCCCACATATACTAATAAATAATATATTCATAATGATGTTGAGATATTAATTAAAAAAAAATATACAAGCAATTAATAAATAATTTTGTGAGTAGAAGATTAATCGAAATTAAAGAGTGGTAAATGATTTTGAAGAAATAGGTGGGTTTTATAGGGAAAATTGAATAGTACAAAAACTTTAGAAAAAGAAAGAAAATTGAAGTTGGTATTAATTTTCAAAAAGTTGCCATTGGTATTAATTGCACTAATAATATTGAATCATGCGTGAGTAGTTGGAGCAGCTTCAATGAGTGTGGAGTATTACTTTTTAAAAACTAACCGTTGGATGAGCAAAAGTTGGTTGGGTGCATGGGCGCTGATGAGCGAGTAAATATAGCAAATGCGGTGAGGAGAGTGAAGCAGCTCCTCCTGAGTGGGCGTGTATGAGGTGCGCTAGGGTGGGCTGAGGTATTAATGTTGTGCACAAGTCCGTCTCTACCCAGAGGCAGCATGGTTAGCGGGTTGCAGAGAGCCATTAAAGTTGAGCTTGTACAAGTTGTAGCACTGCGGCGGCTGCAGCTTCCGTTGGTCATAGTGATATAAAAAACAATATTGGTATAATATTGTGGTAAAGTTAGCATTACTTTTTTTAAATTGAAAAAAAAAAGGAGGGTGACCAGGCCAAATCAGTTACTATACCCAACCAGAGCAATTTTGGGCCCAAAAGGAAGAATGGGCTTCTGGGTAATCACATAAAATTGAAAACTCAGTCGAGCCACAATCGAAATCACCATCGACGCTCAGCGGTTGTGCGTCCACGAATCGGAGTCTCAGAGGCTGAGAGCGCTCTCCTTCTCTCTATCGGTCCGCACATTTTTTTTACTTCGTCGTGCTATAGAAGTCACAGTAGCACCACCCGTCTGTATAGCTATTTGGCTCAGGTTTGTTGTTCTTCTTCTTCATTGCACTTTCCCCTGTCTACCATTTCTAGGGTTAGGGCTAATCTTGGTGTATGTATACGTCGAATTTAAAAACACTGGAGTGTATTGTTTGGGTTTCAGGTTTGTTTTTGTTTACTTGAATTTGGGTTTCTTTCTGCTATGGATTTTCTCTGTAATTTTGAATCTGGGTGGTAAGTGGTTTGATTTTAAGGGTTTTATGGTTTTCTGTGTGAGTGTACTGATCATTGAAGACAAATTGATATAATGCTACGACAGCAAGGGTGTACTTCAAGAATTTGGCTCAAGCCTTATATTGTTGACGTTATACCATGTTAAACGAACATTATGTAAATTCACATACATGTACGTGCACTTTCGAGAGAGTGCCAATGGAATATGCATACTCGTAGAAAGTGGGAATTTTTGGACTTAACAGTAGATGGGTTGGCCAAGAGTTGGGCTAGGTTATGGGAAATCTTAAGAACAATAACCGCAAATAATTTTTTGTAGATAGCATGGTGAACTCATTCATGTGATTCATTCAGAAGTTATACTAACGAAGTACCAATAGCCTTCCCTTCTTGCCCTCACCCTCAACTTCTTCAGTGAAATCTGCCCTTTTTCAGACAAGCATGTTTTGTACAACAAGTAAATGTTCGTATTATCAAAAGGCACTGTTTCCCATTTATTCATTTCGGCAGTTATCCTTTAAAAATATTACTTTTTGGGAATTATCTTTTCAAAAATTTAAGGTTTGGGGAATGAAGTAAGACTGCGCCTTCCTGATTTGCCTCTGCTACTTTCAATTTTGTTTTTGCTTCCATTATCTTTTTCCATTTGGTTCATTGGTGGAAGATGTGATTGAATTTTCTCCTATCATATCATAGTTTTGTCAGACGCTTCTGATTCCATACATCACCGTGATTTTGTATTGTTGCAAGAGCAGATTAGATCATGCTTGAAGCACCAGAATGTGTTTGGGGACAACTGCAGAAAGACTATTTTTTAAAATTGAAGGATTTTATGGGTAGTGGATGGGAGAGGTGGTTGCAACTTACAAGTAGGTTTAATGAGGAGCTTTTCTTCATGAAAATGGATGGATAGATTGAACATGCAATATCATTTATTGATGGTGGATTTAGGAGCCCCTGGATCTTTAGTTTTGTGTTTAAGAAAAGTTTGTGGTCTTCCAGGGGCTTTATACATCCAAAGCTAGTTTAAGGTTTTGTTTGAAACTTTTATAAACTCTCTGAGGTCTCCAAGTTTAATGTTGATTTCTATTTTCAACTAGGTCTAGATTATGTTTTTTGATTAGTAGAGGGTGATATTTGTAATGGCTGCAGATTTTTACAATGGAAAGATGTCACCAGCTAGCTGGTTGTCCTTTTGATTTTCTTCAACAACTAAATTCTCCTATATTATATCATATGATACTCATATAGTCGTGAGAGTGTCCTCCCTATTCCAACCTGCAACTTAAAATGCTCCTATTTGCCAATGAGTAACCAGTCCCAATATTTTTCATGCTTTCCTGCTAGTTTAACCAACTATTTAATGATCAATCTGTTTAGATGGTTTCAAGAAGTTGGAGTTTAGGTAAAGTCTTCCTGTTCATGTAAGCTCGAGTTTTAGTGGGAATCCCTGATTGTTTGCAACGGATGCTTGACTTTCTTTTGAAGGATGTGATTGAGAAATCGGGTATTTAGTATAAGGTTCTGGGGCTGGTGGTCATTAAATTCTCGTGAGATGGATTGCTTGTTGAAAACTTTGTGTGCTTTGTTGGGATATGGTGTTTTCTGGTATGAAGGGAAAGTAGTTGGTTTGGTTTTGACTCATGGATATGATCTTAGGTGTGGTTGTAATATGGGTGTGGTTGTGATATGGACAGGGAGGAGGCAGCGGCTGTGTGGTGTTGGTTGTGGTGGTGTTTCAAGTCAGTGGAGCTAGGTCTTAATAAGAATTAATTTAACATGAGTTCAGACAGCAGGAGCCGAAGCAGGAGCAGGAGCAGGAGCCCTACGGATCGTAAGATCCGTTCTGATCGCTTTTCCTACCGCGATGCACCTTACAGGAGAGATGGAGGACGTCGGGGTTTCAGGTTTAATGGCTTTTGACTATTATTTTATTTCTTTTTGTCTTTGTAAAATGTGGGTTGATAAGGAGAAAATAATCTGTCAACATGTCTTCGTTGGAGATGTTCTGGAATCTTACTATCAACCGTATCTGTTGAGTAAGACCTCTACTTGAATATACCTTAGAAGACCTTTTGAAGTTGATATTTCTTAATTTTGGCTCTGGTTAATAACGTGCTTTGCTTTGTTGTACATTTGTTTAGACCTTTGTAAGTTTTCGAATACAAATGTGAATCCTATTGATTGTTTAATGACGTAATTAAGTATCCATCATCTTGGTTGTAGTGGTAGCTTTGTTTCTGTCAGTGGTGCACAAAGGCTGTAAGCCTTTTACTTTCGTATTGTCAGATACATTTAGCTCAGTACATGTATTAACTCCTTCAACTTTTTGCATTTTTTGGGTATTTTTTTAAAACTTCAGAGTGCTTTAGTTTCATGCTCTGAATGTTTTGGTTTTGCTTGTTTCTTTATGTGATTATGGGTCTGATTCTTCTTAATGATAAGTTAAAATTAAGGAGTGGTTTGAAATTGGGAATGCCATTAGTTTTTGCTCAGAAATTAATCTATTGCAATTTTTTTTTTCCAGCCGAGACAATCTGTGCAAGAACTGCAAACGTCCAGGCCATTATGCTAGAGAATGCCCTAATGTTGCAATTTGTCACAATTGCGGTCTTCCTGGGTACGGAAACTTATTTTGCCTTGCAATTGGACATCATAATGTTCCATTATTTGCTTCTCTGCATTCATTATAATCATTTTATTTGTTTGTTCTTTTGACCTTTTGTTTTCTGGGAGAGGAATATGCTAGTTAATGCTAGAAGTCCAAACATACAAATCCTGAGTATGTAATTTTGCTTTACTGCATCTTACATCCCTCTACTGTCTCTACCTGAACCATTTTGCAGCTAGACAAATGCTACTGTCTCTGCTACCAAGCAATCTATTTCAATCATAGTTTCACTGATAATTCAGAAACTGAAGTTTTCTTCCCCCATTTTTCTGTTCAGAAATTATTATCGCCATCATAATTATAATAATAATCCTTTCACGTGTTTAGTTATAACAGCATCTTCTCCTCCACCATTTCCATCTTCAATGATTATACCACTATTGCCACCATTCAGTTTCACTGGTAAATCACATAAACCTTAACAGCGCAGGATTGCTGTAATAACACCCACTATCTTTGTTATAATTTTGACATTAACACAGCTACCATTTCATGCCTCAACACCGCCCCACCGCCCCACCGCCCCACCATCCCACAGCTACTGTCTTCCCTTGTCAACTTATCTTCATTGTTGCCACTTCAGTTTCTGTCCTCTGCCACTAATATGCTAGTGCATGTTTACCTTGTACCACTTTAGATAATTACTAGCCACCAACACTATCACTTTCATATCCCTTTCTCCTGTAACTGTGTGCCAATAGTATGACCATAAAGGTTTTAAGAAAATCCCTATAGTTCGAGAGAAATATGCATGGTCCCCAGCAACAAGAAGGCTTTGATGCATGACAATTTGTCAAATTTCTCGTATTTTCTGGAGCCACCTCGGTCTCCATGCTCTTTGACTGCTTTAATATTCGACCATTATTTCTGTGAGACTATGGTGATGGGAAAAAGTTATTATTTTGGAGATCTTCAGGTTTTAGACATATTAAGACAATTCAGAATGTTCTGTTTTCCATTTTAAAGCAAAGTAGCAGTACCTTGTGGTGAAAGCAGTGGGTGAATTAATTGTTTCATTGCTTCAATAAGGTTGCATGGTTTCGTATCTCGCAGTAATAATGATCTGCCTCATGCAGATGTCTTCTTTAATTTTTTTTTAAAGTGAAAAAAAGATGCTACGTGTTTGACGGAGCTATTGATTGTTACTGACATAGTTGTACTTGTGCCATTTAATGTTCTACTAGGCACATTGCTTCAGAGTGTACTACAAAGTCGCTATGTTGGAATTGCCGGGAACCTGGTCACATGGCCAGTAACTGCCCAAATGAAGGCATCTGCCACACCTGTGGTAAGGCTGGACATCGCGCTAGAGATTGCACAGCTCCCCCAATGCCACCTGGGGACTTGAGGTTGTGCAACAACTGCTACAAGCAGGGTCATATTGCAGCTGACTGCACAAATGATAAAGCATGTAACAACTGTAGAAAGACAGGTCACCTAGCACGTGATTGCCCAAATGAACCCATCTGTAACTTATGCAATGTATCTGGGCATGTGGCAAGACAGTGCCCCCGAGCCAATGTCTTGGGAGAGCAGCGTGGAGGTGGAGGTGGAGGAGGTGGAATGCGCGGCGGCGGTTACCGTGACATTGTATGTAGGAACTGCCAACAACTTGGGCATATGAGCAGGGATTGTATGGGCCCCTTGATGATCTGTCACAACTGTGGGGGACGAGGACACCTGGCATACGAGTGCCCTTCTGGCAGATTTATGGATCGCTACCCCAGGAGGTACTGATAAGTGGCAGATGATGTTACGGAATTTACCTTTTATCTCAAGCAAGCAGTTCTGATTTAGGCTTTAGATTGAAGGTTGAAACTGCAGACTATTGAGGAGTTGAATTGAGACTTTATTTTGGTAGGATGTGTTTCTGTTAATGTGGAGTACCTATTTTGCGTTAGAACATAATTGATGATGACTTAGTATGATTATGTATTGAATTTTTGGCAATTACTGAAAAATAAAACAGTATGTGATTGGGTTGCCTGAGGAGTTGATGTCTCCTGATTTCTCTCTTCGTGCGTTTCGCATCATGTATGATTCAGAAGCTTGTGAACTCTTAAAGAGAGGCTCTTTTGTGCAAGATGGGGTGGGCGTGGTTTGGTCTAGTTTTCACCTCACACAGGAATCGATACTATACAAATGGTGTGGTTTGGTTCGGTTTTGGTAAAGAAAATTTAAGAAACCAGTAGGTTCGGTTTCCGGTTTTGGATTGGATGTTTTTTTAAATTTTTTCAAATTAATTTTTTTTTAACAAATTCCAACTAAAATTTTATTTTTGGGTTTAAAAAATCACAAATGACGTAATTTCATGCAAAGAGAGATAATTAGGCCTAGAAAAAAGAGGTGCTTTGAAGTTGGACTTGGGGAAATATTAGTTATGGGATTAAAAATTTAGTATTGGACTTAAATAATTTTTTTAAAATAAAAAAAATACAGTCTATCTGGTCTGATTTGGTTTGGTTATCGGCGTTAGAATTGGTTTGAACTAGTTCGGTTTGGTTTTGCATTGGTTTGTTAACTTTTTAGTCAACATGATTTTTTTTCCGATTTTCCGATCTCAATTAGAGGTGTCAAACGGGACTGGCTGGCCCAACACAGCACGAGCCCAGCCCATTTAAATGAGGCACGACACGAGCACAAATATTAATGGGCCGTGCCCAGTACGGCACGAAAACTTGGGCCGGGCCGGGATTTAAAAATGAGATCCAATGGACTGGGCCGGGCTTGGCCCGAGCCCGCTCCAAGCACGGCACGAGCCCAAGCCCACTTAACATTTTTTTTCTTTCTCAAAAGTCAAAATGCAATAATTTGACATCTAATGTCATTGTTTATATATATATATATATATTATATAATCATAAACATATATGTGATGTCTTTCATTTTAGGGAAATTACTTGGGTCCTTAATTAATTAAACTTATCAACTACAAAATAATTAAACAACATTGAATCAGTACATATGACATATACACTTCTCTTATAATCAAAGCAAGACATTTCTTCACATATAAAATAAGAGTGGTGATTTCTCCACTTCAATTTTATCCGCTTACACTCCATTTTATAACTAAAAAAGGAGTGTAAGTGGATAAAATTGGAGTGGGGAAATCATTACCCTAAAATAATAAGTTGTTTAAAGATAATAATAAGTTGAAGTGGACTTTGTGGAGTTAGACACTTTTTGTCCTTTGCCCTTTCATATTGTTTGGATGTTTGATTGATTAATGTTTTCAAATAGTTTTTCATTTCTTGCCTCTAATTATATTTTTAATGTTTATAATTTGAATTATCTAGTCGAAAAAATAAATCAAGTTAAAAAAATACAAATTTATAAATAAACCCAATCCTAGACATGTATTTATAAAAAAACTCAAATACTATTTAAACATAGAAACACACCCAAAATCAACAATTGTATATTTTTTGGGTGTGTTTATAAATGGGATTTGAGTGTGTGTAATGATGGGTTTTGGTGTGTTTATAAAGTGTTTTGGGTGTTGGGTTTTTTTATAATTTCAGCCCCCATTTTGGGTGTTTTAGTGAAACTCCTTTAAAAAAATTTAAATTGAATAGGTTGGTTCTTGGTCCCGAGTATGGCACAAGCACGAGCACGGGCACGGCACGAGCCTAGCCCGACCTGTTTCAATGTGGGCATGGGCTTTGGGTCGGGCCAAGATAAATGATTTTACTAAATGGGCCAACACGATACGGCCTAATAAATTAAATGGGCCGGCCCGGCACGGCACGGCACGAAAACGTTAAAAGCACGAGTCGGCCCGTTTGACACCTCTACTATGCATATGCAAGATACATAAATTGTTCCTTTTTCAGCATGGTCTCAATGTAGCCAGGGCGCTTTAATTCATGTGGTGTAAGTATGGTGGGATTAGGTAGAGGTCTAATTAGGTTCAAACTATCATGCAAAAACATGAGGAAAATGCTAGGATATATGGGTAGACTCTCAATGCCCACCCTTAATGCCAAAGGGGTCTGTTTCTTTTTCTCGGGTTAATGCTGGTCCAATTGATGGCTTTGAGGCTTGTCTAAACCCAGCCTTAACATATTTAATATCGTAATTTATGTTTTTTTTTTTTTTGGTCTGAAAATATCGTAATTTATGTTTGGGAAGAGAGATATCGCAAACTAAACTTAACATAAAATTTTATTTTATTAGGCTTATTTATTGAAATGCCCCTTGTGCTTTCACTTTTGTCTCAGTTTGCCTTTGGACCTTAATTATCACCCCATATACCCCGGAGCTTTATTTCCGTTACTCATGTTACCAGTGGCTGATCTATAAATTTTTCTTTCAGGAGTCAACATATAAAATGTCAAAAAAAAAAATTAGACAAAAGAATCTCGTAAAAATAAAACAATAATATTATAATTCATAATTAATGGAAAAATCAACATTACTTTGAAATTTGAGGGAGACATCAAAATTCAAAAACAAATTGGGAGAGTTACCACCCCCACTAGATTCGGTGGTCAAATTATATTTCAAAACAAGTTTTGGGGGAGGGGGTATTGGGCTGCTTGATATATGCGGGCCTAGGGAAGAAAAATAAGTTGCGCAGGTAGTGGTTAGGGAAGAAAGGCATGCGCTGCTCCTGCTGCCTCTTTGGAACAAAACATCAAATAGTTGGTGGGCGCCGTGAAACATGAACTTGCAGCATTGCATGGGTCAATTTTTTTTTGCCCAGGTAGTGGTTTCTAACTTGCGGGGGTCAATTGACCACCCTTGCTCCATTGAAGATCCACCACTGCATGTTATACCATTCCATCTATTTTGTGCGAAAATTTGTTAAGTTGGTGATGTTAGGCCAAGTGGCGTGCTTATTTGGATGTTTAGCTGTGTGGATCCAAGAAAATAAAGTTACGTTTCCTCACTTTCCCCAAATTCCCCCTAATTTTCCCCCCAATTCTCATAGCATTGCCCTAGTTCAAAGCTCTTAAATTGACTCTCTTGGCTCTTTCTTGCATCTCACTATTTGTCATCATTTGCATCAAAGAAGAGTGGGAGGAAGGAGAAGAGAGGCTGGTGCAACATTGTCACTGTGACACTGTTGCTCGACTTCAAACTTCATGGACGAATCTAAACCCAAGATGCAGATTTATAGTGTGCCCAAAGGGAAGGGTAATCATAAGCTCCAATCATATGCATAATCCTGATTGCGTTGGGCATGAGAATTGAAAATTTTCCTTCTTTCTTGGTATGCAGCGAAGAGGTGGAAGAGGATGTGCGTTTTTTATGTGTGTTGATCCTGAAATGTGTGAGCGTTTGAAGATGGTGATACCAGGTTTGCTGAAGAAGCTTGACAAATTTGAAGCTGAAAATGCCAAGATTCGAAGGTAGTGTAGACTTTTGTGGGCTGTTGTGGTTATTTCATGATTGAAGGTGTTTGCCATGAAAATGTAATTGAGATGAAGTTTGGTTGTACTTGGAGATTTTTGTGTAATTGCGTTCTCTTTTCTTATGCTTATCAACAAGGCTTGCAAATCTACAAATATACAAGCATTCATCACTTTAAGAAAATTAACCAAACTTGCAAAATGTGCTTAAGAGCAAAGATACCAAGTCCAACCCCAACTCGTTAGATGCATGCTATGAAAGTAACATGAATATGAGAGAATCTCCATGAAGTTTTTGGGCAAGTATGAGTGAAGCTAATATATGTATGCAAGATGAAAAGATTCAGTGGGAGTATAATCATGCACATACTTGAGTGTGCCTTATTGATGTACCTTCGCTTATCTTGTAAAGAGTTAATGTGATTATTATCTTCTAAATTAAGAGTGAGAGTTTTCACATAAGGGATAGAAATTAACGGTGATAAATATGGGAATTCCGAGTTATCATATGACATGACATTCATGCGAAACTCTAAAAAAGAATATAGTTTTCTTGAAAAGTGAAACTTCAAAATAGAGTGAAAGCAAGTTTGCTCGGATCCCCTAAATTGAGAGGCCATGTGTGATGTATAGGACACATGAGAATACTAGTCAAATGAAAGATTTGATAGTATTAGATTATCAAGAATGTCTCATTATGCCTAAAAGGAGAAGTGACGTGCTTTAGGATGATCATGGATTGGAACTGTCTCATTAACGGACAACTAAGCTAATAGTTGCTTAAAGTATCGACAAGTGCAACTGTGACCAAAATCTATTTAAGCGAATAAACATTTTTCGCTTTGGACAATGAATGTGATTTCCTAAACAACGTACGGGTATGTTATTTCAACAAGTTTTTGTAAATAATGTTTAGGTTGTTGAATTGGAAGCTTCGTATGTTTGGATAAGAAAATAATTTCATTAGAAATTGTTTCAACCATAATACGTCATTGATATACATTGATACAATGGCGATCAATTGGGGCAATAGCTCGAGCCAGGAAACAAGAGGTCTCATCAAAGCTCCAAACACACACTAAGATAAGTAAAACGTGTGATTAAAATAATCAAATGTTTAAGAGGATAACGTGACTCTTAGATATGCTTATGTATATCACATACTGTGTATATGACATCAGCTTCAATTTAATGAACATCTAAGGTAGATGGTTATTGAAGAAGTAGGCAATTTACTTTGAATGGAAGTGGGAGATCGTTAGAAGTATGCTCTGAAAGTCAATCATTAGATGAAATCTTTTATGGAAAACTTCATTTAAACTAACCATTTAGGTTAACATTTAAGGGCAAGTATGTCAATTCAAATAAAGGTCCACATGTGACCATTAACATATTTTACAAGTCCATAGATCCATAAGATAAAGAAAGTGATCTAAAGATGTTAGATGCGAAAAGACCTTTCCCTGTAACTCAAACCAAAAACTTCCCGGTCATAGGATCATTCAACTGGGCATTAACGAACTGCAAAGCTCGATACGCACTATATCTGCTCAACTTGGAGGGTGGTCTTCAGTCATTGGTGTCTAGACACTAAGATAAGTGTGTAGGTGCTCACTTGAGAATGAGTTCACTAAAGAGTGATCAAATTATAAATCTTGTGTGAAAGTTCTACTTACATGTCAAATAAGATTTCATCGGTTGCAATACCGCAAGGTTAATCCTTAGACTTGAGGCATCATGGTTGCCTTATGGATGTGGAGTCGATCTCTGACTGTATCGTAATGTAGAGCTCATCCCTAGGCTCGGTTCGAGGTAACATTGGGATCTTCAACAAGTCCATAAAGGCAAGTGAGTATACGACAAGGGATCTTGACTTCTAGTAAGAGGGAGAGAATGTTCTGAGATATCATTCGGGAATCTTCGGCCGAAGTCAGAGCTCAATTAAGAAAGAGTCTTCTAATTAAGTTCATATTGAATCATATAGCCAAGAGTGATCATGTTAGGGATTTGATATGAATTCAGTAGCCTATTAATGAGATCAAGAATATTAGGAAATAGAGAAGGATCAAATTGCGTTGTAATTCCAACTAAATGGATTCTCCTAATTAAGCTCGTATTGAATCATATAGCCAAGAGCCCTAAGGAAATTCTGTAATTGGGTCCTCATGAAAGGGAGAATTAAAATGGAGTTTTAATTCACAGTCGATAAAGAAAGAGTTCAAAATCACCCACGACCTTGCTAATTAGATCCCAATAGATTGCACTTATGGAAGATGAAAATATCAACAGTTAAGTAAATTAATTTGTAAAAGGTTGCATTTAATTGGAAACCGAAACATGGGCTACCTTCAAAGCCTTTAATGGGACATGAAGTGTTAAGTGTTGAAGGTATTCATTACAAATGGTGTTCAAAAAAGGGTGCAAGTGGAGGTGAGAATGATGGTACTAAAGTTTTTTGGAGGAAGATGTCAAGATTCTTTGATCGCAAGTATTGGAGGTATCTTCTTATGAGGCATGCTCTTGATGTTATGCATATCGAGAAAAATGTTTATGAAAGTATCATTGGTACATTGTTGGAGATTGATAGAAAGAATATATATGAGGTTTCAGCTCGTTTATATCTCTTGAAAATGGGAGTTAAGAGACTTATCTGCAACCCAAATATGGAGAAAAATGTACGCATTTGCCTCTAGGTCCTCGAATTTGTCAAAATCGGAGAAGAGAACCGATTGTAAAAAATGTCACTTTTTAATCATTGCATAATAAACTAATAAGGCAAATAAAAAGTAAGGAAAGAGAGAATCAGCAAGTTGAAAATCTAAAAGACAATGAATGACCAACTGGAGGTGGAACAAGGTCCTCTCTTATATGAACAAGGAAGGGAAGGAGGAGATTATTTGTTGGATGCAGAACTTCTACATGAAAAAGAAATGTATTTTTAGTGACTAGCAATCATTACAAAATAAATATTAAAAATAGTGGCAAAATTGAAGAAAATAGGGGATGAGATTAACCAGAGTTTTCCTTTTCCTCCCAATTCGAGAAAACGTCATCTTTATTATCAAAGCATGTCAACAACAACTCTAGCTAGCTAGCAACTCTATCTCTGGGGCTAGGTTTAGGGCTAGAGCTAGGAATAGGGCTAGTTAATTACTTTTGTATAAGATAGACAATGACTATTTTACCCTTTAATATTTTCTTCCTTGGTACCCCATTAGATAAAAGGGTGTCATAATTCTAATAACCACCTATTTGTATAAAGATCAATGTATTGGTGCAAAAACAAAGTTTTATGACCTCTGCAATTGAGCCTCGCATGACATAAATATGTTGGCCACTCCCCCAAGACACGGGGACTCTGGCGACATGTAGATGGCGAGATAGGTGTTATTAGGAGCTGAAATTTATACTGAAAAATTATAAAACCAATGCAGAAATTACCGCCCATTAACCGCTCGCATCAACAAATCGACCGATAGGGGCGATTTTAAGAACTAATCGATGTCCTCGAATGCCGATGCAGTTCCTAAGATCCAAAACTCGCGGTTTGAAGATTGATAGAAAGAATATATATGGGGTTTCAACACGTTTAGATCTCTTGAAAATAGGGGTCAGGAGACTGATTTGCAACCCGAATATGGAGAAAAATGTACGCGTTTGCCAAGGTCCTCTCCTACATGAACTCTTACATGAACAAGGGAGGGAGGGAGGAGATTATCTGCTAGAGACGGAACTTCTACATGAAAAAGAAATGTATTTCTAGTGACTAGCAAACATTACAAAATAAATATTAAAAAAATTGGCAAAACTAAAGAAAATAGTGGATGGGATTAGCCAGGGTTTTCCTCTTCTTCCCAGTTTGAGAAAAAGCTGTCTTTATTATCGAAGCATGTCAACAATAACTCTAGCTAGCTAGCAGCTCTATCTCTGAAGCTAGGTTTAGGGCTAGAGCTAGGAATAGGGCTAGTTAGTTACCTTTGGATAAGAGAAACAATGACTCTTTTACCCTTTAATATTTTCTTCCTTGGTACCCCATTAGATAAAAGGGTGTAATAATCCTAATAACCACCTATTTGTATAAAAATTAATGTATTGGTGCAAAAACAGAGCTTTATGACCTATACAACTGAGCCTCGCATGACATCAGTATTTCGGTCACTCCCCAAGACACATGGACCCTGGCGACGTGTGGACGGCGAGATAGGTGTTATTGAGGGTGGAAATTTATACCAAAAACCTGTAAAATTGGCGGAGAAATTACTGATCATGAACCACTCGCATTAGCAAATTGACTGATGAAGGTGGTTTTAAGAACCGATCGGTGTCGTTGGATGCCGATGCCATTCCTAAGATCTAAAACCAACAGTTTGGAGATTTATAGAAAGAATATATATGGGTTTTCAGCTCGTTTAGATCTCTTGAAAATGAGGGTCAAGAGATTAATTTGCAACCCGACTACGGAGAAAAATGTATGCGTTTGCCAAGAATATATATTTTTTTAATTTCAAATAGTTCAAATCACCCTTTGACGGTTGATGTTGCATCAACAATTTTTTATTTTTCCATTGTAATTGAAACTTTAGAATATCTTCATTATGTCAGTACGTGTTGTGGTTATCAATAAGAAATAAAGCGAGCACATTTAATTTAACCAAAAAAAAAAAAAGTAGGCACATTTAATTTAATTAAGCTTTTACTCATCATGCTAAGTGTAACAGGAGTGAAAAACACATTTAATTTGTCGACCCTTGCTCGACACTTAGACTCCTCCTAAGTCAGCCTTCTCGCACCACCAACTTGTGAGGGCTCTGTTTTCAAGCAACAAAACAAGTGAATGCCAACACACCCAAGCAAGACTTATCTAAACAAGAAAAATCATACACAATCACACAGCGCCTCCCAGCAGCCCATCATTATAAATCGCCTTCAACCATTTCAACACTTATCCATGTTTTGAATTTCATACTCTAGCATCCCAACCATGTTCCAACACCGTTGAAACAGCTAAAAACTGCTCGGGCCACATCAGAGTACATGCCTAGCACGTTTGCCTGCACATGCCAACTTTAGTGCAAGGCCTATCCACAT